AGGCTAAATGCTTTAAATACTTTATGTCATTTAAGGCTTTTAGTACCGTCGTGGGTAAGTGTTGTTACAACCCCAATTTTATAAAATGAGGGAAGTGGCCGGGTGCGGTGGCTCATGCCTGTAATACCAGCACTTTGGGAGGCCGGGGTGGGTGGATCACGAGGTCAAGAGATCAAGAGCATCCTGGCCAACATGGTGAAACCCCGTCTGTACTAAAAATACAAAAATTAGCTGGGTGTGGTGGAGCATGCCTGCAGTCCCAGCTACTCGGGAGAGTGAGGCAGGAGAATTGCTTGAACCTGGGAGGCGGAGGTTGCAGTGAGCCAAGGTCACACCACTGCACTCCAGCCTGGCACCTGGCAACAGAGTGAGACTCTGTCTCAAAAAAAAAAAAAAAAAAAATGAGGGGAGCACGGTTTGAGGAATGGTGTGTTCTGTCTAAGGTTAGTGAAGGAGAAAGTGAGGATCTGAACACAGGTTACGCTCTTTCCTCCCAATCATACGAGCTCTCAGGAAGGAAGGCTAACTAGTGCACAGATATAAGTATACAAATCTTTATGTGTGTTTCTGGTTGGTTGCTATTTTCTAGCAAATTTTCTCTGAGATTTCTGAGCTTAAAATGATTAGCTATATGAAGAGCTGAAAGATTAGATGTGTTCTCGGGTATCTAGATCAAATGCGGACATGGGCAGGACTAAAGGGAGGAATCTTTTTATCACTGGGCTTTAGTCAACATTAAATGACTATTTCTGAAGTTTTCTAAAACCTTGTAATTGAGATACTTTGACCACACCATTGAAAATTTTAATATTAATTTTACTTGGTTTTAACAAATAGCGCACAATCTGGTGCTATTTGTAGACACGAGAATCCACAAGTGTTTTATTATTTTATTAATTGTGTTTATGATTTTACTTATTTCCTCTCTTTTGCTCCTTCCCTTCACCACTGCCTCTGTATTTGGCAGCACCCTTTCCCGCAGCCACCAAGCCTGACGGTGGAATAAATCCCATTTGTCTCACACCTTCCCTTGTAACTGTTTTCTGATTGTCTCACATCTATAATAGACTTAAAAGTACAAGTCCTTTGCTAACTTATAAATTAATAACATTAACATTACCTTAATATAATGAAACATCTGAATTAAAAAGTTATTCCTGGAATCCTCAAGAATAAGAGTGCACCCCATGTTAGAGGTAGTATTGTGAAGGTCAAAAATAATGTCATAAGAATCTTCACTATTTTTTGGACCAAATAAATGATTTATTTCTTGAGCTCTTCTCACTTCATATGGCAAATCTTCTGACATTTTTTTGCTGTTATAAGCAGAAAGAAAAAGATTAACAACATCTGTGCTGAGATAATATAAACACAGAATAAGAACACAGTGTGAAAACGACCAGTTGCCAAATCTTTAATATGAAAAATCTGTATGGGAAGTAAAAACTTACCTGAAATATTATAAATGAAAAATGACATGCTTTTTCTTCATTTGATTCCATATAAATAATGTTGCATTGGCATGCTTACAAAATAATAATTTCATTTATGTGGCTGTTCATGAACAGGACAGACATATCAAGCAGAATTTATCATTTTGATTTCAGTCTTGAACAAAACATATCCATTAATTTAACAAACAGTTTCTTAGTAGTTATGGTATACTGGGTTATTTATTATGGGACTAGACCACCAAAATGCATCATTTCCCCCCCACTTTAGCTAACTCTAGTGCGCAAATATAGTCACTTAGGGGCTCACAGAATCTAATTAGAGATCCTTGTAATTTTTTTGAGACAGGGTCTTGCTCTGTTACCCAGGCTGGAGTGCAGTGGCCCAGTCATGGCTCACTGTACCCTCAAACTCCTGGACTCAAGCAGTTCTCCCATCTCAGCCTCCTGAGTGGCTGCAACTACAGGTGCGTGCCACCATGCCCAGCTAATCTTCTTATCTTTTGTGGAGGTGAAGTCTTGCTATGTTGCCGTGGCTGGTCTTGAACTGAAATCGCCTTTGCAAAAATTGTAAATGAGACAATTATCTTATTTATTTATTTATTTATTTATTTTTGAGACAGAGTTTCACTCTGTCACCCAGCCTGGAGTGCAGTGGTGCGATATTGGCTCACTGCAACCTCTGCCTCCCGGGTTCAAGCGATTTTCCTGCCTCAGCCTCCTGAGTAGCTGAGATTACAGGCACGTGCCACCATGCCCTGCTAATTTTCTGTATTTTTAGTAAAGACAGGGTTTTACTGTGTTAGCTAGCCAGGATGGTCTTGATCTCCTGACCTTGTGATCCGTCTGCCTCAGCCTCCCAAAGTGCTGGGATTACAGGCGTGAGCCACCACGCCTGGCCAACTGAGACAATTATTACAATGAAAAGAGATCTAACCTGACTTCATCTTGCTTCTAATCTCCAAGCCAGCCTCGTTCATGCCTGGGTGTAAACTGAACTAACTTTGGGAGGAACTTGGTTTATAGTTTAACTTTAAAACGAAGATAACAGCTCTTTCCCAAAACAGACCCCCTTCCTACCTGGGGACTAGACTGCCTTTGCAGTCTAATGAATTAGCCCCAAGATTAGAAATTATGGTTTAAATGTCGTGCAGCTGGAGGCCGCAACATTCTGAACCTCCTCAAATTGCTCCTGGGGATAACACCACTATTGTAAAACCTAAGATCAGCGCTTGAGGTATTTTGCAAACTCTGAACTTGGTAGATCAGCTGGCACCACCCAGACGGATAAACTGGCTCCTCTGGTCTTGTGGCCGCCACCCAGGAACTGATTCAGTGCAAAAAGACAGCTCCAGTTCCCTGAGTTTACCTCCGATCTGACCCATCAGCGCTCCTGACTCACTCCCTATGATTTTACCTCCGATCTAACCCATCAGCCCTCCTGACTCACTGGCCCCCTACCCACCAAATAATCCTGAAAAATTCTAATCTCTGAAGTTTCAGAAAGACTGATTTGAGTAATAATAAAACTCTGGCCTTCTGTATAGCCAGCTCTTTGTGAGTTAAACTCTTTCTTGCAATTCCCTTGTCTCGATAAATCAGTTCTGTCTGTGCAGCGGACAAGGAGAACTTGCTGGGTGGTTACGGAACTCCTCCTGCCTTGGCCTCCCACAGCTCTGGAATTACAAGCTTGAGAAACTACACCTGGCCTACTCAGAGGTTCTTAATTGAGGTCCAGGGACAAAGTTTCCACAGAGTCTGTAACCTCTTCGAAAATGCCAAGTTTGCTGGTACGCATATGTGTATTTTTCTGGCATGAGGGCCAATAGTTTTTCTTCCATTCTCAAATGGGCCTCTGTCCTCTCCCCACTTCCCGAAATGGTTAGGGTACATTTTTTTCTATATATAATAATGTTTTAAATTTACTTTTCCTCATTAAGCCATTCAAGCACATTTTCCCTAAAATTCCATCTATTTGTCTTCCTTGGCTATTTTTGCTAGCATCTTCAAGGGACCTACTGTTTACAGCTGGGTAAATCCTGCCTGGAATGCAATCAGGAAAGTGGAGTTGTTATTTTGTGACTTAGAAGCAAATACCATGAGGACAAAGCTGGCTTGTTGAAAGAGTGCAGCGGGAAGATAGAAGGAGACTGTGACGTTGATGACATGCTCTGGCTGCTGCATGGGACCCGGACTGCTACCTCTGGACTTACTACTTGTGAACAAGAAACTTATTTGTTTAAACCACTATTCTCAGGTTCCTATTATCTGCAAACAAAATCTAATGGATAGTTATGCATTTTAAAGATTAATTCATGAAATAACCCCCGAGGTTGCCCTCAACAATTTTGGTTCTATACCATTCTTCTGCATTTGGGTTAATGGAGGTAATATCTACCCAGTTGCTCAGAGTCAAGCCCTGAAGTTTTGAAGTGATGGACACTTTGAGTTCTCATGCCTGCGGTTCAGCTCCATGGGAAGGGTCCCAAGGGATGGAGAACAGGGAAGAGTGAGATTCTGAAGGGCGTTAACCGTACTAAATCAATTAAATCTACTCTGGACACATTTTAAAAGAATTTTCAACAGGGAAGAGACACGATAAGATTTGCATAGTAGGATGATTCCTAGAGATATCAGATGGAAAACAGATGGCAGGAAGGGTCAGAGCAAGTCTGGATGCAGACAGATTTTTTAGGAGGCTCTTCTAACTGTCCAGAGAAGAAATAAACTAAGGAAGTAAAAACGGAGAGAAAGGCTGGATTTGTAAAGAACTTGCAAGGAATGACTGGGAGGACTTAGCAACCCGCTAGACTGGGGTACGGAGCCCTGGGAAGGTTCTAGGGTGATTTTCATAGGGGACTTGGTAGGTAATGAAGCTACCACTGAGGGAAGGAATACAGGAAAATGAATAAATTTGGGAGAGGTAAGATGGGAGAAGCTAATTAGTTTATCTATTTTATATTATTTTAACCACCCTGAGAACAGTGTCGTCTCTGAATACTGTTAACAGTAAGAAGCAGAAAGTGGGTTTAGCTGAAAAGACTGTGCTCACTGAAATGCATACAGTTGGGCGCTCATAAACTCGCCCAATTTCAGACTTCTTTGGGAACTTAATATGCCGACTAAAAGTTACTCTTCAATAAATTCTTATTTGTAATATGGCCAGGTGTGGTGGCTCATGCCTGTAATCCCAGCACTTTGGGAGGCTGAGGCAGATGGACCACAAGGTCAGGAGTTCGAGATCAGCCTGGCCAATATGGTAAAATCTCAACTCTACTAAAAATACAAAAATTAGCTGGGCGTGGTGGTGGGCACCTGTAGTCCCAGCTTGGGAGGCTGAGGCAGGAGAATTGCTTGAGCCCAGGAGGCAGAGGTTGTGGTGAGCCAACATAGTGCCACTGCTCTCTAGCCTGGCGACTGAGCGAGATTCTGAGATTCCATCTCCAAAAAAAAAAAAAAAAAAAAAAAGTTAACAGCTCTCTTAGGTTAGTATAAGCATGAATTGTGTTGACATAACCTCAGTCATGAAGATAAAGCATTTCTCAAATTAAAATTTATGCTAGTAAAAATATGACTTGATGCAAACAGGATGACTACTGTATAATTGCTGTAAATAACATCTGTTCCATAAAGCGAGGCATATTTCTATTAAGAATGGTATCCATCTTTTGATCTTGCTGAGACTAAACCTAAGGAATTGTCTAACTCAAATTAGAGTTGATCAGAAAACAAGCTCATAGAACGGTGCCCCGAGTTGTGCCTGTGCGTGTCTTCTATCTTAGCTAGTAGTCTACTGACTCCTTGAGGGGTAGAACCCATGTTGTATAGAGCTTTGCACTCCCCCAGTACCTGGCACGGTTTCCTGAGAAAAACAGATGTTTCACAATATTTTTTAGTCAAAGAAAGAAAGTGGCCGGGTGCAGTGGCTCATGCCTGTAATCCTAACACTTTGGGAGGCCGAGGCGGGTGGATCACGAGGTCAAGAGATAGAGACCATCCTGGTCAACATGGTGAAACCCCGTCTCTACTAAAAATACAAAAAATTAGCTGGGCATGGTGGTGCGTGCTTGTAATCCCAGCTACTCAGGAGGCTGGGGCAGGAGAATTGCCTGAACCCAGGAGGCGGAGGTTGTGGTGAGCCGAGATCGTGCCATTGCACTCCAGCCTGGGTAACAAGAGCGAAACTCCGTTTCAAAAAAAAAAAAAAAAAAAAACAACAAAAAAAAACCCCCAGATGGTGGTGGGGGCGTCTGTAATCCCAGCTATTTAGGAGGCTGAGGCAGGAGAATTGCTTTAACCTGGGAGGCAGAGGCTGCAGTGAGATCAAATTGCACCATTGCACTCCAGCCTGGGCAACAAGAACGAAACTTCGTCTCAAAAAAAAGAAAAAAGAAAAGAAAGTCGTGGTAAAAAGCAAATACGTGGAGGCATATTATGTCCACAGTGGTAGCTATTATGATGTAAACGAAGGCAAAAATAATTAATAAGAACCTAACCTAGAATGTTATGATGACATACATCGTATGCAATATATTGCATCCAGCAAAATTTAAACTCTGAAAATTCAGGTGAAGTGTCTTTAGTTCTCATCTCTGGCATCCCACCTATGACAATCCACCGCTGAAGTTAAGTACGTCTATAACTTCGGATCACAGGGTAGTCTGATATCTTTTGGCAAAAGGTATTTAATCACTCTTTCCTTCAACAAATATTACTTGAAACATTACATTTTTCTGAACTAGAACTTTATGCATATTATAAGCATAGACGCTTGAAAACATAGTAGTGAATTTCCTAAGGAACGAACAATAATGTATGCAAGCATAGTGGCCAAACACTAACTCAATGCAAAGGATTATTAAATCTGTTTCTCTAAAGAGATGATTTAAAAACAAAACTCTTTTCTATTTATTGTCTCCGTCTGTATACATTTGAAAACTTAATTATTAATGCGGTGCTTAACAAAGTGTATAAAAGAGCATGTGAATGCTTAGTGTAGATGATTGTGTAATTCCCAATGCAGTGTAATTAAAAGTGAAAGTGATCTTATTCAACATAGCGACTGCGTGTATCGACATGAATTATATGCATATACATATATGTATTCCCTTTCACACGCCTACCACTTTTCACACACAAATACATACATACATACACAATACAAAACATAGTCTTACCCAAGATTTTCAAGGTCAAAAATGCGATTCAGGTCACAGTCAATGTATCTGGTACACTTCTTCACTGCTCTTGGGTTAGTAATAAATGGTTTTACCTCCAGCCCTGTTCTCTGAATTTCAGCGCCATTCTTTAGCCAATGCTTAACCAGACATACCCCAGTTAGCTCATTTCCATGGGTTCCTCCAAAGATAGCAACCTTTTTAATAGGTTCTTCAGCAATATGACAAGAAGTCATTTCACCAAGTAGTTTTTTATCTGATTTCTGCAATTCAGAGGAGAGATCAAAAGAAATTCAATTTCTTAAGAAAGCTTTAGAAATTTAAATCTAAATGAGACTTTAACCAAAGGGCAAAGTACAGAGTTCCCTTGAGAGGAGTATATTTTAATTTTCTGTTACAAGTTCTGAGCCCCGTTTATGGACACTCCCTTTTTTGGCCCTGCCCTTTTCCATATTTGGATTAAAATATGCAAAGATCAACTAGAGATACAGCTGTTTACTTTAACTTCTGACTCCCTCAGATGGCCAGTAGATCTAAATACAGTAATAAATTAGCATTTCATACTAATACAAAAATTCTGTTCTTTTCCTCCGCTAGAATGTCATCCAGTGAGGCTTTCACAATTATTTGTAATAATAAAACTTGTTTATACATTTCTGATCTCAAAAAATGTGGCCCACTCAGTATTTCCACTGGCATTTCAAAACATTTCTACTCTGAAATGAGTTCAAGCACTTTTCATGATCTGAGGGCATCTGAATCTCACCTCTCTAAGCAGCCAAAGGCTGACCCTCAGAGACTTCTTCTTGAACTGACACCTCTTCTTTCACAATCCTTTTTCACAGTCAGAAACAGAGGGGTCAATTCAATGATCACTGGGACTTGAAAAACTACTGGGAAACTTCCCTTAATTTCTTTCTCATGAAGTTTTTGGTAATTCTCTGTTAACTTCCTTATGAATCTTCCTCATTTTTTTGCCTAAATACCAAAGGAAAGACAACTGTTAGTAATTTTCAAGTCTTTACAATGCCTGAAAATATCTTGGGACATACTCCATGTACTAACCACATCATGTGAACTTACACACACAGCCTAACTCACTGTCAGCAGGGACTCTCCACTGAACTGTGTTACTCAAAAGGGGATCTTATTAGGGGAAATTATCCAGAATACTAAGAAGATTACCTCCCTTTGGAGAAATGACTCTGAGGCAATCTGATTTGATTTCATGCTTAATCACCCAGAAAGACAACTATGTTCAAGTACTGGAAATACCACGTACTAGTAATGCCAGGTTGTTTGATACAGGGTGTGATAAGAGTAATTTATTACCATTGCACAGTATCTTAATTTATAATGCTCTTCCACTCAGTTTACTCATACATCAATTTTATAAGGAGGGTAGGTTAGGTATTGAGATCCCCACTGCAGGGGTAAATGAGGGAGAGGTTAAGTAACGCAATTAAGGTTCTGCAGGGACATAGGAGAAACCAGGCCTGGGACGCGTGTTTCTCATTCCAAGTCTAGTGTTTTTCGCAGGACAATAGGGTGCCTCTCTGTTATTTTTGGTCTTCTTCATGGTTCGGTTCTAGTTTTACTCTTTCTGAATTCATATCAACAGCCATTACAGAGTGCTCGGGAAACCAACATGCATATAAAAAAATACATGGTGGAAAAATAAAATATGAATGCTTTCTAACATTTAATAAACCAAACTGAATGTTCTTCCTTCAAGAGCTTTAATGCAGAGAAAGAGAAAGCAAAATCACCAAATCAAATCTACACATGAAAACTACTGCTCTAATATTTTTAAAAAGCTCCTGTAGCCTTTGACTGTCTATCGGCATCCATGTACACTGAACACTTCAGATGGTGTAGAGATGATGAAAACACACATAAAAGGAAACAGATGACAGTTGTTTAGTTGCTCTGGTTCTAAGAGCAGTAACTATGGTGAATTATTAACACTCTACTATGCCTGGTTTCTTTTCTGCGGATTTGTAGTTTGCTCTGTCCTTTGCCCTAGTCTCTCTAGAAATGCTGCTTCAGTTATTTACTCGTATCTGGCACAAATGACTTGCATTCTGAAGCTTGTTTTATGGAATTTTAACAGATCAGCACTTTGAAGCACATTTCACATTCATAAATAAAGTTTCTCTTACATGTCAGAATGAATAATTTTTTTGAGAGTTAGTGAATTGCAGAATTATTTCCCATACTTACCTTGTTGATTGTACACAGAGTTTGTCTTCTGTGGGAAGCTTTATTAGGAAAAAGGAGAGCATTTCCTTAAACTAGAGCAAGAGAGGCTTTTCATACTCTTATACCAAGTTAACTTCCGAAAGGTTTTTAACTCCCTCTTTCCCAAAGTGTACTCGATTTTTGGGACCCACAAAAACCACACATTTTTATTAGTTCACTTCTTTTTTGAGAGTTCAGAGAACTGATAGTATACAAAGTGAAACCCTTTTTTGTTGTCACTATCTCATTATTAAGTTGAATATATAATGTTCTGAAGTACTCAAAAGAGTAAGCATAACTTTCAGCGTTACGAATGTTTTGTGGGATGGAGTTGCCTAATTTAATAGTAAAATAATGTAGTTTAAAACAGAAGAAGGCTGGACGTGGTGGCTCAGGCTCGTAATCCCAGCATTTTGAGAGGCTAAGGTGGGTGGCCCTCCTGAGGTCAGGAGTTCGAGACAGCCTGGCCAACATGGTGAAACCCTGTCTCTATTAAAAATACAAAATTAGCTGGGTGTGGTGGCAGTGCCTGTAATCCCAGCTACTCAGGAGGCTGAGGCAGGAGCATCACTTGAACCCGGAGGTGGAGGTTGCAGTGAGCCGAGATTGCGCCATGCACTCCAACCTGGGCAACGAGAGCAAACTCCGTCTCAAAAACAAAACAAAACAAAACAAAACAAAACAAAACAAAACAAAACACAAAACAAAACAAAACAAAAGGAGAGCAAAGTTTTACTTCACAGTCGTGGCTGTCCAGTAGAAGAGAATTTTCTTTTCTTTTCGGACAGAGTTTCACTCTTGTTGCCCAGGCTGGAGTGCAATGGGGCGATCTTGGCTCACCACAACTTCTGCCTCCTGGGTTCAAGTGATTCTCCTGCCTCAACCTCCCAAGTAGCTGGGATTACAGGCATGTGCCACCACGCCCAGCTAATTTTTTTGTATTTTTAGTAGAGTTGAGGTTTCACCCTGTTGGTCAGGCTGGTCTCGAACTCCCAACCTCAGGTGATCCAACTGCTTCAGCCTCCCAAAGTGCTGGGATTACAGGTGTGAATCACCGTGCCTGGCCTTGTAGGAGACAAATTTAAGGTGGGTTGTTTCGTAAATAGTATGATTCGGGGATAAGAAGGGTTTTTTGTTAAAAATTATACATAAGATGGCTCATAGATAATGTGATGTTCAATAGTTATGTAATCAAAACTACTTTTCCTACTTCAATTTTCTCTTTCCCTGTGGCCCATCCTGACCAACTTTCCAGGTGGAAATAAATAACAAGAACAAAACAAGGATAAAATAGATTAAGTTTATAAACTGTTAGCAAAAATTCTATATTGCTCATGTCTGCAGTTCTTACAGATGTAATTGGCTTCAAAGGGTTTTTTTTTTTTAATGAAAATTCTATTTTTGGGGTGGGTAGGTGAGTGTTGTAAATGTATGCATATACGTATGTAGATGTCAAGTTAAAATCTGCTTCCCTGAAGCTTCCATTCATGTTTTGGGTAACTCCTCTCTGGAACCATGATAAATAACAAGTTTTATTTTTATTGTTTCAAGTCTTCTTCTTCCCAAAATAAAAGATGACCCTATTCCTTGAAAGCTATTCCTTACTCTGGCATTCAAGGTCTGCTATTATCTAGTATCAGTCTACACCTAATACTATTTCCTATTTCCTAATAAATTATCTCTTTTTGAGATAATTTTCAAAGAAACTACTAAAATGTCTATGGTCTTCTAGTCCTAGGCCTTTACTAACAATCTTCCTTTCATCTCTGAGCCCTTTCCACCGTCTTCAAATGATTAGAAGATATGGTAACAACAAAACATGGTCTTTGAACTCAGACAGAACTAGAATCCACTACCTGGCCCACAGTAAGATCCGAATAAATGGCAGCTACTGTTATTAATATTAAATAAGGGCTAATATTTACTGTGTGCTAGATTGTCTATTTCATCTTTCAATACTTTTTTTTTTAGGGCGATTGTTGTTATTGCTCTTTTACTGAGGAAGTAAATGTAGGTCTAGGAGGTGTTCAATAAACAACTTAACCAAGGTCACAGGGCCAGAAATTCACAGTCCTTTGCCAGGAGGCCTGCAGCTCAACGCCCGGGGTCGCACACCACGCGGCTTTCCCCGCAGACCGTCTATGCGGCTCACGGACGCCTTCCGTCCCGCAAGCTCCCGCAGCCCTGGGCCGTGCCTCCTTGACGGCTCTCCGCCTTCCATGGCTGCCACCCGAACCCGGGCTTCAGCTCTGTCCCCAGCCTCCTGGGGACTCAGATTCCCTGACCCTGATCCGACCCAGTAATTCAGCCAGATACCTCGGGTGGCCTTCGAGGCACCCTCTGGGTGGCACCCAGCATCTGACAAACGGATGTCTGGGCCCCAAGACACGGCCGGGGGTGCAGAGAAGCAGGACACACTTTTTTGATGATGCTGGGGCTGAGGTCGGTTGGGCAGGAGATCTGACCCTGCCTCTCCAGTCACAGGACAGTCTCCTCTCCTCTCTGGGCAAAACTCTAAAGGGTTGGTGCCATCCCTGCTCCAACAGCGTGAGAACTTCACAGTGTGAGATCGCCAAGGCGCGTTAACGTTATCGCTCCTGGCAGAAGGAGGACAGGCAGGCCACGAGGACGCCATTGCTTTGAGGAGGCGGCCTCTGCGCAGGCGCGGCCCACGGCGCCTACGCACTGCACGGCGCCCACGCACTGCACGGCGCCCACGCACTGCACGGCGCCTACGCACTGCACGGCGCTTAAGCACAGCGGATTCCCGCACTTTCTTCGCAGGCGGGGAGAGCGGCGGTTGCCGGCGGGCTGCCTGGAAGACCGTTGACTGAGGCGAGGGAAAGTGAGGGCTGAAGTTGTGTGTCGGGTTGGCAGGAGGGTCTAGAAGGGAAAGAGTAGGCATTGACCCCAGATACCAAACTGCCCCATCCGTGGGCGGGTCGGGAGAGGCCTTTGGAAGAGCGTCTCTGCTCTGACTGGAGCCTCTTCTCTCACGCCCCTACCAGGAGCCAAAACGGGCCGCCATTTGAGGCCGCGCGCGGCGTTTGTGGGTGCCGTGTGTGTGCGCGTGCATGCTGAATCTGCAAACTTTTTGCGCACGAATGCCACCAACCCTCCTACTAAGGCCACTTAGGTCCATTCAGAAGCCAGGGTTGGGGGCTTCTGCCCTCAGGATGAGTGGCATCTTGGGGTCCCTGCTCATCTTGGGGTCCCTGCCCTGAGGATCAGTGGCCCTGTGGGGAGAATGTTACACTTGAAAACATATTTGTTGGCCGGGCGCGGTGGCTCACACCTGTAATCGCATCACTTTGGGGGGGAGGCCGAGGTGGGCAGATCACGAGATCAGGAGTTCGAGACCAGCCTGGCCAACATGGTGAAACCTCGTTTCTACTAAAATACAAAAATTAGCCGGGCGTGGTGGTGGGCGCCCGTAATCCCGGCTACTCGGGAGGCTGAGTTAGGAGAATCGCTTGAACCTGGGAGGCAGAGGTTGCAGTGAGCCGAGATTGCGCCACTACACTCCAGCCTGGGTGACAGAGGGAGACTCCGTCTCAAAAATAAAAAAGAAAATTTTTGTTGTTGTTAATTGTTTGTTTGATACTAAAAAACATCTTAGCCTTTTAAGCCCCTCTAAATATAGGATGTGAGTTGCGCTGGTAGAGAAAGTGGCAGAATCTCTTTCCTGGCCCCTAGGATGGCACAAGAATATTTTCTAAATGGTCTGACTCGGCCCAGCTTCAAGCCCAAGATGTTGGAACAAAGCAGAGGCAGCACCTGACCTCGTGTTTCCCAAGTTTTATTTTTACGCACTATAGTTGAAAATGAATACCTCGGCCCAACTCACCTGTTGCTTAGTTGTGTATGTGTCTGTCTTATTGGGTCGTGAATTTGGAACAGAAGTTACCTTGTTTGGGTTTGTATCTTGCCTCTTCATGCGATGGGCAAGTGTTTGTTGAATTAGATTGGGGTTGAAATGCATTAGGGGGCTAAACATGCAAAATTACAAGAGAACTTCTATTGTAAAAGAAGAAAACTAAGGAAAAACTTGTTTCACTTGTTGAAATTGTGGAAATGGAGTTGCAACTTATCATTACAATTATTCTGGATATGAAGGGAGGAGTTAGTTAGGCTTTTCTCTTTGTTTTGAGACGGAGTCTGGCTCTTATCGGCCAGGCTGGAGTGCAGTGGTGGGATCTCAGCCCACTGCAACCTCTGGCCGTCTCCCAGATTCAAGCAATTCTCCTGCCTCAGCCTCCTGAATAGCTGGGACTACAGGTGCCCACCACTATGCGTGGCTAATTTTAAAAAAATTTTTGTGTTTTTAGTAGAGATGGAATTTCACCATGTTGGTCAGGCTGGTC